CAACCATTAATTTCAAATAAGACATTGAATCCTTTATCGCATAATTAACTAATACTCAATAGATTATGCTTTAATCCATTCACATATAAAACATTTTTAATTTGTATGGAAGAGGTATTACCTATTGTACCAATACCTTCAATGTGACCTTTTGAATTATCACCAAAAGTCACTTCTCCTCCATTTTTGACGTTAAGCTCTATGAACCGGCTTTTGTCTCCGGTCATGTGTCTTGAGCATCCACTATCAAGGTACCATGAATTTGAATTTGTTTCCCGTGCCTTGTAGCAATGCTCCTTTCCCTACAAACATAGATTAATTTTTGATTTTTGGTACCCAAATTCTTTTGGGTCCATATTCATTAGTTTCCAAAATCCTAGTTCCCTTAGGTATCCATTTGTGTAGGATATCTTTATCTTTAGTAGTAATGAGTCCTTTAGGAACCCATAGACTTCTAAAGATTTTACCATTTAAGGTTCGTTGAGGATATCTATGATTGTAGTTTCTAAAATCTTTTCTAACAAAGTTGGATTTTGAATTTTCTCCTTTTTCAAAACGTTTAGTTCCAACTTTATCAAAAGAAGTTTTAAGATCATCAATTTTCTTTTGATGATCATCATTGACCTTTGAAAGTAAATTTTGCAAATCTAAATTTTTCTTTTCAAACTCTTCTAGTTTGATTTGCAAATCTTTGATTTTACTTTCAAGATCATTGTTGGTTTTGGATATGAGTTTATTTTCATTTTTCAACTTTGAAACATCATTTTTATATTTTAAAAATAATTTCTCATAATCCGAAGCCAACCCATTATATTCCTCTAATAGCTCATCATAAGATAAATCATCAAAATCAGATGAGTTAGAGGTTACCTTAGAATCTTCCCCAAATGCCATTAAGCACAAGTTTGCTACTTCTTGTTCTTCTTCATCGGAACCTTCTTCATCGCTCCATGTAGCCACATGAGCCTTGTGCTTATTCTTTGATTGACCCTTCTTCTTCAATTGTGGGCAATCATATTTGACATGCCCTGGCTTTTTGCATTCATAGCAAATGATCGGGTCCTTCTCTTTTGGTTCATCTTTGAGGCCTTCATTTCGTTTGAATTTTCTTCCTCGGTAAGGTCTCGTCATTTTTCTGAACCGTTTGGCAAATAATGCCATTTCCTCGTCATCATCATTAGAATCACTCTCATCTTTTGTGGATTTGAGAGCAACTCCAATGTTTTTCTTCTTCTCCTTCTCCTTTGGTGTCTCTTCAACTTTATCAAGGTCCACCTCATCTTCAAGCATCATCTCATGAGTGAGGAGTGAACCGATAAGTTCTTCAAGAGTTAAGGACGATAGGTCCTTAGACTCGATGATTGCCGTCTTCTTTGATTGCCATGATTTTGGGAGGGAGTAGACTAACTTCCTCACAAGCTTTTCATTTAAGATGATCTCTCCATATGATTTGAGACCATTGACAATCGTTGAAAATCTATCCGTCATAGCTTTGATGTCTTCATTTGGTTTCATCCTGAAATTTTCATAGCTATGCGTTAGAATACTAATTTTTGATTTCTTTACCTCATCGGTACCTTCATGTGTGACTTGAAGCTTGTCCCATATTTCTTTGGCGGTTGTACACGATGAAACTCTTCCGTATTCATCTGGTCCAAGAGCACAAAAGATAATATGGATGGCTTTGGAGTTGAGCTGGAACATTTTTGTATCTCCTTCACTCCACAACCTTGGATGAGTGATAGGCTTAATGTATCCTCTTCTACGGCATTCCATGCTCCCATGTCACTTGCTTGAATGAAATACATCATTCTATTCTTCCAATAGGCGTAGTTAGCTCCATTGAAGAAAGGATGCTTGTTGACGGGCATCGAATCGAGACCGGAGTTGAAGTTTGAAGCGGAGGCCATTGATGACTTTAATAATCGATATAACTCTTCCCGAATCGACTCAAGAGGCGATAAAACCTTCAAATGAGTTAGGCTCTGATGCCAATTGTTGAGTTAATCGAATGACGAAATTGGCCAAGAGGGGGGTGAATTGGCAATAAAAATTTGTGGAAGCTTTTGCAGAAAATTGAAAGTAATTGCACAACGATTTACAGTGGTTCGACTTTCTCAAACAAAGTCTACGTCCACTACCTTAGCTATCCACACTAAGGATTTTCCAACAAATTCACTAATTTGTTCTTTCTTTTGAGGCCAAAGAGATAACCTTACAATTCCCTCAAGAGTATACCCCAACTCTTGAGAACACTCTTTTCTCAAAGAGAAGATTACAAATTTGCAAACTTACAAGAAAACCTCACAAGGTAAGATGTTTGCACAATTCTAGAACAAAGAAAAGAACACTCAAAGATGAATACAATTGAGCACAAAAAGTGTTCTTGAAAGAAAAATGAATATTGAATGAAAATAGGCTTGAAATGCTCAAACTTGAGGTTTGATGCTTTCTCTTTGATTCTCTCTTGATTCTAGTTGCTTGATGTTTCTTGTTCCTGATCAATGGCTTCTAAGCTTGCTTAAATACACCTTGGATCACTTCTGAACGTTGGGGATGATTAGAGAAGATATTATAGCCGTTTTAGTGTGAAAACATTTAATAAAACAGCTTGGAGCGTGGGGGGAATCGGTTCCCCATCATAGGGAATCGGTTCCCTAAGTGTAAAATTCAAATATTTCGACCGTTGAATAGGGGGGAATCGGTACCCCCTTGGGGGGGATCGGTTCCCTCCGAGCATACTGGAATTCTCGGAACAAAAATGTTTAGGGGGGAATCGGTTCCTCCTATGGGGGAATCGGTTCCCTCCGAGCATTCTAGAAATCTCTGAGCCAAACCATTCAGGGGGGAATCGGTTCCTCCTATGGGGGGGAATCGGTTCCCTCTGAGCAATCTGTAATTTTTGGCTTTGAATTGGTTCGAAATACTTTGTAAAATTATTTTAAAATTGTTTTATGATTAAAACTTAATTTTACACTTAAGTAAGGATTAAAAATGATTTTTGAAATATTTGGAGTAATGTTTTGATATTCGAATAGTTATATCGAATATACTTAGAAAATCATTTGGAAAATCTTAAAATCAATTTAACTTAATTTGTTATATCGAAATATTAAAATGTTTCAACATAAACTTTGTTTTGCCTAAATAATATTTTTATGTTTTATGAATGATGAATTATGTTTCCTATTAACTATTTTTCTCATCGTTTAAATATTTTACCTAACGCTGTAAGAGAATCGAGAGATAGTCTGGGGTCTTGGTAAAACATGTCTTGGCAATATAAGAGCAACGAGAGATAGCCTTTTATCTAGATAGTGATTCTTAAATTCAAGAGAATTAAGATAGATCCATGTGAGCAATGGAATGAATCCAGGATGGTGAAGTTCTAATTTGTTATCTTAAAGATAAGGAGTGAGTTTCAAACGACCAAAAGGGATAGATGCTAGAGTATGATAGACAACGCCTATAGTTTACGCTAAGAGGTATTGCTACAACAACAGTTTGACACACCAAGGGTTGTAGTTAACAGTGAGGAGTATTGCCATAGCAACCGTCTAAGAATACCTAGTAATCTTGTCGGGTAGCTTTAGCAAGTCATAATAATTCATTCTAGACTCAGAATAATTGTTGTCAAAGCAAAAGTTTAGCATAAGTGCTATGTGATACGTCTGAATATGTGAGATTGTTTGCATTATATCAACACTTGTCTTGTTTTATTTTAGCATTTTGTATACTTATTTTGCCTCGACCAAACTTTCATGCAATCGTTAAATCACTTCTTGTTTTATTAATATTAGTTCTTAAGCTGACACTTGGTAGGACTTAGTTTGGGGACACTAGTTCTAGTTCTGGTAAAAATATATTTCTCGACCAATCCCTGCGGAGACGATACTCACTTACCTTATATTACTCGAATTGATTGTGTATACTTGCACAGATTTGCTTGCCTTAACATATACATTTACAAGATCAAGTTTTTGGTGCTGTTGCCGGGGATTGGCAACTGACGAAATTTTTAGCCATAAGAAGTTCGTTTTGTGTCACCTTATATTTATTTAATCTAACATAGTTTATTATTTTCTTTTGTAGTTTTTTATTATTGCATGACCTTGAGATCTGTTGGCAAGCCTTTGGAACCATTCAACCCTGAAATTGAGTAATCACTCATATAAAGGTTGCGTGCCCAAAGAACTAGAGAACAATTAAACCAAATCCAAATACAAAACAACATGGGAGATTTAAGACCTGATGCAACTATCAATCTTCAAGTTGCAAGGTCAAGAGAAATACGAGATCATTTGAACCCAATTCTCGATGACCTCAATCCAGGCATAGTGGCACCTAAAATACAAGCCACACATTTCGAACTTAAACCGATTATGTTTAACATGCTAAACTCTATTGGATAATTTGGTGGTTCACTCAATGAGGATGATAGTCAGTATGTTCGTGTTTTCCTTGAAGTATGCGACTCGTTTCGATAACAAGGAGTACATAAAAATGTGCTTAAACTGAACCCTTACTCCCTACGCGATAGAGCAAGATCCTGGCTCAGCGGAGTTCCTTCTGGCTCAATGGAGTCATGGACAGATTTATGCAAAAGTTTCCTACTCCGATATAATCCGCCCAATATGAATACACAGCTTCGCAATGACATTGCTAGTTTTCAGCAAGGAGATTATGAATCAATGTATGAATGCTGGGATAGGTACAAAAGCCTACTTCGCAAATGTATTAACCATGGCTTTCATGATTGGATGCAAGTGGTGATGTTTTACAACAGAGTCAATGCACCAACTCGAATGATGCTAGATGCCTCAGCAAATGGCACCTTACTGGGCAAATCACCGGAGGAAGCTTTTGACATCCTCGATAGGATAACAAATAATGATTATCAATTTCCAAATACAAGATTGGGGACCGGCAGAAAAACATCTGGAGCATATGAATTAGAGGGTAAGGATTTGGTAGCAACTCAACTTTCTGCCATAACCAATATGTTGAAACATTTGCAACATCCTAATGAGGTAAGAGAAGTCAAAGTGACCAATAACGCATGCTTATTTTATCATGGCAACCATCATGAGATTGAATGCCCGGAAAACCATGAGTCGACCAATTTCGTTGGCAACTACAATCGGAGCAACAATAATACCTATTCAAACACGTACAATCCTGGTTGGAGACAACACCCAAATTTTTCATGGAGTAATCAAGGAAACGACAAATTACATGCCACAACAAAATGATTCTGACCATCAACATATTCAGAATCAGCATCATCAACAACCATGGCAAAACAATAAAGGTATAGCTTCTTCCTCTAATACAAATTCCAATACTAATTCCTTGGATTTGTCATTGCAGGAATTTATGGCCTCGACGAAATATTTCATGGCCTCGACGAAAGATTTCATGGCCTCCACAAAGAACTTGATACATGAATATTCTATAATAATTAAAAATCAAGGAAACTTGTTACAAAGCCAAGCAAAACTTTTGCAAGGCCATAGTTCATCCCTAAGAGAATTGGAGAATCAAGTGGGACAAATTGCTACATCACTACATTCTCGCCCACAAGGAAATCTCCCTAGTGATACGAAGATCACTAAACATTATGGGAAGGAACAATGCAATGTTCTTACACTAAGGAGTGGAAAACATGTCAACCAATATGACAAGTTTAGGGGAGAACACCTTAACAATCCTCGCCATGGGATAACACAACCAGAGGATCGAGTTGAAGATGTTGAACGAGAGAAAGCACCTGAAGAAAAGGAAAGAACTGAAGGCTCAGAAAGGCATCGTACAAACAATGAGAAATTCATGGTTAAGGCCAGAGATTTTTTAGCAATATTAGAAGATAATGTGAGACCTTCACCACCATTCCCTCAACGGTTGAAGAAGCATGATGATGATATCCAGTTCAAGAAACTCATTGACGTTCTGGATCAATTGTGTATCAATGTACCCTTGCTAGAAGCCATCGAGAAAATGTCTTCCTATGCCAAGTTTCTTAAAGACATTGTTAAAAAGAAACAAAAGGTAGAATGTGTTGCCACGACAACAAAAATCTGTTCAGCATTGAGCAAACTCCCACCAAAGCAAAAAGACCCTGACAGCTTTATAATACCATGCTCAATTGGTAATGACTTCATAGGATGAGCTCTTGTTGATTTGGGATCAAGTGTGAACTTGATACCAAATTCCATATTTATGAAACTAGATAGGTATCACGCCTGTCCAACCTCAGTCATCTTACAAGTAGCCGATCGGTCATATGTGCGGCCAGAGGACATAATAAAAGATGTCATAGTAAAGGTGGATAAATTCGTATTTCTAGTTGATTTCCTCATCCTGGATTGCGAAGCCGATAAAATGCCCCGATCATTCTGGGACGACCCTTTTTAGCCACTATGAGAATCCTAATAGATTGTGAAAATTGAGAGTTCACAATGCGAGTAGGAGAGCAAAGTATCACCATCAATGTATTCAACTCCATGCAATATGTGGACAATTCAGAAGAGTGACAATGCATTAGAGAAGTAAATGAGAAGACATTCCTTGGATGAGGCGAATCTTTAAGACTCGATGAATACATCGCTTTGTACCATGACCCTACATATAAAATGTACGAACAATACACTTTTGGCCCAAGCAAATTATTTTCAGAAGACGATCCAGAAAATCATGGCCCAGACAATGGAAATTTGAATAATGAACGCCCTGAAAACAATACCAATGCACGATACGGATGAAAGATACATGATCAATCGAGACTTCTTTATAGTAGATCAGGTATGAAATTTGAACCCTTAGATTATGATGAAATTAAGTCTCAAGAGTCATCCTTACAATATACACCAAAACTGGAACTTAAAATTTTGCCATCACACTTGAAGTATGCCTATCTAGGAGTTGATGAAACTCTGCCAGTGATAATTTCTGACAACCTAACCTATGAATAAGATAATAGTTTGTTGAATGTTTTGTCACAGCACAGAAAAGCTCTCGGATGGACAATGGCAGACTTGAAGGGAATCAGTCTGACCATATGCATGCACAAAATCAATCTCGAAGATAGCTATAGCATTTGGTGGAACCCCAAAGAAGGCTCAATCCAGCCATTAAGAAAGTAGTCATGAAGGAAATTATAAAATTGTTGGATGCAGAAGTAATATATCCTATATCCGATAGTTCATGGGTTAGCTCGGTGCAGTGTGTGCCAAAGAAGGGTGGTGTGACCGTGATTAAAAGCAAAAATGACGAACTCCTCACCACAAGAACAGTCACGGGCTGGCGCATATGCATGGATTACAGGAAGCTCAACAAAGCCACAAAGAAAGACCATTTCCCCCTCCCTTTCATCGACCAAATGCTTGATAGGTTAGCAGAAAAAGCATTTTACTGCTTCCTCGATGGATACTCAGGGTATAACCAAATAGCCACAGCACCGGAGGATCAAGAAAAAACCACTTTCACATGGTCGTATGGTACCTATACATTTAGACGAATGTTGTTTGGACTGTGTAATGCTCCAGCTACATTTCAAAGATGCATTATGGTAATCTTTTAAAATATGGTGGAAGAATGCATGGACATATTCATGGATGACTTCTCCATCTCGGGTGATGATTTTGACCGATGTCTCAGCAATCTATCCAATGTACTGAAACAATGTGAAGAAGCCAACCTAGTGCTGAATTGGGACAAATTCCATTTTATGGTAACAAAGGGAATAATGTTGGGTCACAAAATTTCATGTCGAGGCATCAAAATCGATAAAGACAAGGTGGACGTGAATGCAAACCTTCTCCTACCCACCAATGTGCGAGGTGTACGCAGTTTTCTTGGACATGCAGGCTTCTACAAGCGGTTTCATAAAAGATTTTTCTCAAATCTCTAAACCCTTATATCTTTTTCTTCAACAAAATCATCCATTTGAATTTACTAATGACTGTTTGAATGCCTTCACAGATTTGAAGAAAAAACTTTCGACAGCACCAATCGCTATCCCACCAGACTGGCGAACCTTTTGAGCTCATGTGCGACGCAAGTGACTATGCAGTCGGAGCTTTGCTAGGGTAACGAAAAAGTAAAATCTTTCATGTCATATACTATGTGAGCCGTACTCTTAATGATGCACGAGTAAACTATACCACCACTGAAAAAGAACTCTTAGCAGTAGTATTTTCATTCGATAAGTTTAGGCCATACTTATTAGGCACTAAGGTAATTGTGCATACAAATCACTCTGCCATTAAATATCTGATTAATAAAAAAGATGCAAAGCTTAGACTAATTCGATGGATATTATTACTGCAAGAATTATATTTAAAAATTAATGATAGAAAAGGTATAGAGAATCAAGTGGCGTACCATTTGTCTAGGTTAGATAACAAACATGATTGTCCTGACATAACAAAAATTGAAGAAGATTTCCCTGATGAGAAAATATTATTTGTCACGGTTGCGCCGTGGTATGCGGACATAGTTAACTTTCTTGTTAGTGGTATTGTTCCTCCTGATTTATCTAGCCAGGGCAGAAAGAAGTTTCAACATGATGTGCGACATTACTACTGGGATGAAACGTTCCTATTCAAGCAATGCGGAAATCAAATAATCCGAAAATGTATTCCAAAAGAAGAACATAAAAATATTCTACACCAATGCCACTCGTCACCATATGGAGGGCATTTTGGTGGAATGAGGACAGCAGCTAAAGTGCTTCAGTCCGGATTTTATTGGCCAACCTTGTTCAAAGATGCACATGAATTCTATAAGTCATGTGATAGATGCCAACAGACAAGAAACATATAAAAAAGGCATGAAATGCCATGGCAAAATATTCTGGAAATTAAATTCTTTGACGTTTGGGGAATAGACTTCATGGGACTTTTCCCACATCTTTTGGGGATTTGTACATTCTCTTGGCAGTAGATTATGTATCAAAGTGGGTTGAGGCCATCGCAACACCTAAGAATGATTCCAAGACGGTGTTAAAATTTTTGCACAAAAATATATTCACCCGATTTAGAACATCACGAGCTATCATTAGCGATGAAGGCACGCAGTTTAACAATAAATTGATTGACAAGGCACTAAAGCGATATGGAGTACGACATAGGATTGCTATGGCGTATCACCCTAAAACGAATGGACAAGCTGAAGTTTCTAACTGGGAAATTAAATAGATTCTAGAGAAAGTGGTCAATCCGAGTCGAAAGGACTGGAGACTGAAGCTAGATGAAGCACTATGGGCCTATCGCACAACATTCAAGACACCATTGGGAATATCACCGTTCAAACTGGTCTATGGAAAAGAATGTTATCTGTCTATTGAACTCGAACATAGAGCATATTGGGCCATCAAAAAGCTAAACATGGATACTCAGCTTACTGGAGAAAGAAGACTCTTGGAACTGAACGAAATGGATGAATTCAGAGCACACGCATACGAGAATGCCTGCCTATACAAGGAGAAAACAAAATGATGGCATGACAGAAAAATATCGCCGAGGCAATTCAATTATGGACAACAAGTATTGCTCTACAATTCTCGTCTTAAGTTATTCCCAGGCAAGTTAAAATCAAGATAGTCAGGACCATTCATAGTACACCAAGTCCATAATAATGGAGTAATTGAAATCCATAACCAAAACGATGGTTCCATCTTCAAGGTGAACGAGCAGAGACTCAAGGAGTACAAAGGAGCCCCAATCATGCGCGACAAACTGACATCGTTGCCACATGAAGCCCAAGAGTTTACTTTATTTACTTGAACAAAATTCGTTGCCTAGGCAACGAAAATTTAAATTATGTACATAAATAAATTAAGTTATTTTCTACTTTCATTATTCGTTTTATTTTATTTTTTTTATTTATTGCAGGCATACACATCAAACGTGGCAGCATGGGGAGTTGGAGCATGCATGAAAAGAAAAATAAACCCTATGGTGCATGGTTTTGGCGGTATAATAAAGAGGGAAAGAGATCTTTTCCCCCACTTTATGTCCAATCATATATTTCTCATTAAATGCAAAAATCTTTTCCCTCAGTGGAATGACAAAACTACCCTGAAACCACCCATTACTTTCCAAAGAAACAAACTGCCCAACTTCTTCGTCTTCATTGTGCCTCATTCTCTCTCTACCAAACAAGAAAAATTTTCTTTCTCTCAACGAATTCCTCCCCATCGCCACCACTGATTTCAACCAAGTACAATGGTAAGATCAAGGAAAGCCCCAGCCTCAACACAGAGTTTCGAACGTTTCCAAACAGCCAAAGCAGAAGCATGCTTTAAAATCCTTAAAAACGCTAAGTATATTTGGAAGATGGGTTTGTCTTTACAGCCGAGGATGAAGAACCGTTTGGACCTGAGGTGATGGACGTGATAAAGAAACACAACTGGGAAAAGTGTGCTCACCATCCCAAATCTGTAGCACCGGCTATGGTAAGAGAGTTCTATGCCCATCTCGAAGACCCGTCCAACCACACAGTGTACGTCCGAATGAAGCTTCTTTGATTTTCCCCTTCAGCATACTCGAAAAAACGTGACAAAAACGGACGCCTGAAGGACCACATGGAAATTTACTTCGAGTATGTCAAGGCTAGGAATATGCAACTCAACGCCTTCTTCAAGGAGTTGCTCCCGAACACTAACACCAGACTGTCGACCTTTCCCAGTGTCATCCTCAAATACAATGCGGGCGGCAGCACATTCCATGCCTCGACATCGTATGTCCCTCCAGAAGTTCCCCTAGGAGTGCCCATTGATGTGCCACCACTCGCAACCCATGTCCCACCCATACCATAGGAAGGCCAAGGCAACACAGAAGAGTTCCTCAGCTCCTCTTCCTTTTCCACCTCCGAGAGCAGTCAAGATGGGCCACCTAACTTCTTCCCCAATGAAGCTTTTACTCCAGCATCGAAGCAACCTGAGCACGGTCCTATACAGTCCCCTGTCAGTCAAGCAATACTGGTCCCAGCAGCAGATTCTAGTCCAGTGCCAGTTTCAGCACAACCAACTCCTACTACCGAGTAGTCAACTCCAGCACGCGACTCGACTAGCAAGAAGCACTACAAGAGAACGACATGTCATATAATTCAACTATCTCCCTCAACAATAGCAGTAGTAGACACGGGATCAGAGAGTCCCTCTCCTCCCAAGCGACACCGAACGAGGGCGTCCAGTCAAGTCACCCCACCACAGTGAGTTTCCATTTTAGTTTTCATTTTTTTTACATATGCATATAGCATCATGTAGTTTTAGTTTTCATGCATTGAGGACAATGCATCCCTCAAGTTTGGGGGAGGTATTATACCATATTTTGCCATGCTTTGTTAAAAAGCGGTTGATGATAATTGGTTGAAAATTTTCGTTGTCATGACATAAGCAGGTTAAGATTATTTTTAGGAATGAATTAGGGATGCTCGATGATGAATGCATAATTTGATTGCCTAGGCCAGAATTATTGTTAAGACTGTCTAAAGAAGAGAACCAACCCTAGGTCTGATTCTTTAAAATTTATAAACACAATTGTAGGTTGTCTTTTCTTCAGGTAATCTGTAAAATTTTTGGAAAAGAACTTTCTGCTTGTCGAGACTTCAAAAATATTTTAAAGGTAAAGTAAAAACTCCTTAGTGTTTAAAAACTTGAAAAATAAAAAAGTGACACTCCTCTGTGCAAAGGCATAAATAGAAAAACTCCATAAGAAATTAAGAGTAGCCAAGGCATATGAGTAAATGAAAATAGTCACAGGATGACTCTGTCTGACTAGCTTGGGGGTGGAAGGTATACTCATTTTCACCTAGAGTGTGGAACGGTAGGTGTGATGAGTTGACTCCCCTATATAAAAAAGAGAATAAAAAGTTGATAAATAACTAGGAGTATAAACCAAGCCTGACAAATAATTTGTTGCCTTAACAAACCAGAAGTTATTACTTAAGTTTTCTAATTACCTTTATGGATAGGTTGGTTACAATCACACACATTATAGCAAAGAAGCCTGACTAGGGAATGGACTTGACTGATATGACTGTCGAACATGTTGAGGCCAAACATTTTTGCTGAGGGATGAAATCTCAAACCATATGATTTTCTTAATACTGCTTTGCCATGACAATTTTGAAGACTCAATTTCCAGTCTTTTCACTTAAGTTATTGCTCGTCTAAACAAAGTATGCACAACATTTTAGTTGCATTTACTTGCATATAGGTTATGTTAGCATGTGGTGGATAAGTTTTGCTTAGGCAAAATTTATTTGGTTTGACTGATGCTGTTGAGGAGAAAGGGTTGTTTGGGTTGTGTTTGTGCAGGAAACTTACAGAGAAAGAATATTTCAGTCGTGACAACGTAAATTTACAAAGGCCAATGGAACAAATGGGAACGTGAGGAGAAGATTTATCTCGCAGAGGCAAGGTTTATCTAAATAAGTTTGAAGCAGGTGTGACGAAACCGCGTATGTCACACGCCAAATGGATGACATACTTCATGTGCAAGCAAGCCTTAATTATTCTGACAGCCGCCAACCGCCTTTCCTTTTTAAGTATGGACATTTAATAACAGTTATTTACGGAAACTCCAAAAGCATGCACAACCCTAGGATATCTTTCCTTATAAATAACCAATTGTAGTTGCTAAAAAAAGAGGCAAGTAAGAAGAGAGAAGAGCTTTATCCAAGGCATGAGTGAGCAACTGAAGTGCTTCTTCACCGTTTACCCATCGACCTTCCTTGGTTTCCTCCATGGTCAGACTTTAGCAGAACGGTGATCCGGTCTCGAGAGAGGCTGATCACCAAGGCAGGCGCAGTGCTGATCAAAATCTTTGCGACAGAGCCCCCAGTTTTGGGGGTCGTTCTTCCTTTGTTTTTAACTCTTTATCTACTTAGGGTTGTATTAAATGTTAAATCTTGGATGATTTTTGATAGCATCATGACTGTCTTACTTGATGTTAAACTTTATTTTGTCTGAACAATATTTTTTTATGTTTTATGAATGATGAATTATGTTTGCTATTAACTGTTTTGCTCATCGTTTAAATATTTTACCTTACGCTGTAAGAGCATCAAGAGATCTCCTGGGTCTTGGTAAAACATGTCTTGGCAATATAAGAGCATCGAGAGATAACTTTTTGTCTAGATAGTGATTCTTAAATTTGAGAGAATTAAGATAGATCTACGTGAGCAATGGAATGAATCCGGGATGGTGAAGTTCTAACTTGTTACCTTAGAGATTAGGAGTGAGTTTCAAATGACTAAAAGGGATAAACGCTGGAGTAGGATAGACAACGCCTATAGTTTACGCTAAGAGGTATTCCTAAAACAACAGTTTGACACACCAAGGGTTATAGTTAACGCTGAGAGGTATTCCTACAACAACAGTTTGACACACCAAGGGTTGTAGTTAACGCTTAGGAGTATTACCATAGCAACCGTCTTAGAATACCTAGTAATCCTATCAGGCAGCTTTAGCAAGTCATAATAATTCTTTCTAGACTCATAATAATTGTTGTCAAAGCAAAAGTTTAGCATAAGTGCTCTATGATACGTCTGAATAGGTGAGGTTGTTTGCATTATATCAACACTTGTTTTGTTTTATTTTAGCATTCTGCATACTTATTTTACCTCGACCAAACTTTCCTGCAATCGTTAAATCACTCTTTGTTTTATCAATATTTGTTCTTAAGCTGACACTTAGTAGGACTTAGTTTGGGGATACTAGTTCTAGTTGTGGTGAAAATATATTTCTCGACCAATCCCTGTGGAGACGATACTCACTTACCCTATATTACTTGAATCGATTATGTATACTTGCATAGATTTGCTTGCCTTAACATATACATTTACAAGCAATCAGAAGTCTAATAGGGTAGCTTACTGCTGAGTCTACCTATCACGATCAACGACGGTACTAGACCTTATGAATAGGAAGAACTGTATGAAAATCCTAATCTAATAAATAATAAACTTTACTTAAGCAATTTAAGAAAACCTATTAGTAGCTTTAGTAGCACATGGATCATACGTATCTGCTGGATGGGAAATGCCAGATCTAATCGATCTTCAATTAGGGGAAACACGATTACCCTTATGAAAAAATATTCTCAAATCAATTTTATATTCAATACCCAAATAATCATGTAAAAAACCTAAAATTACTAACCATTTTTAGTTTAACAGGCATACTTTGGAGCTTTCGGGTTACAATTTAGTGGAATTGACCGCAACAACAAACTCAAGACGTCAAAAAATTCAAGATGGTGGTTTTAAAAAAAATCAATGTTCCTCAATGGTCAATGGAAGTGGTTAAAAGTAAACGATCAATGGTCGTCAATCAATGACTCGACTCGACATGGTGCAACTTGGCTCGACCAGACTAGTTCGATCTGGTTCAATTAGACCAATTCAGTCAGGTTCGATTGGACCATTTTAGGATGAAGCGATTTTGGTTAGACGAGTCATACGAATCGAGTCAGACAGTCCAATTGGATGCGGGTCAGCGGCTCGTATTGACCCATTCCCAAAAAATCCACTAGGCGGTGGATAAGCCCCACGGGAAGCGGTGACGCATAGGGTACGATCAGTGGCGTTTGGGTTAAAAAATTTCTAAAATTATTTTAAGGGGTTTAGAGACACTTACCAAGCTCGATTCACGTCGGTGAATGACTAAAAGTTCAATTTTAAAACGTCAAAAAAATTATTCCTCACCCTTCTATATTGTGGTTGCAACAATGAAAATATGAACACCAGTGGAATGAGAAAAACACAATGATCACGAAGGTATGGGAGGTGTCAAAAAAAAGGAGCTTCGATCGATAGCAAAACGACAGTTGAAGCTTCTTAGGTAAAAGTTGCCAAAAAATAAAATATGGGAGGGAGATTTGGGGTTTCCAGGAATAGAAAGTTTTAGTTTTGGGAATTTATAACCTAACACATTTAGAAAATGGAAAAAATAATACCATGGGTCCTTGAGTTTTTTTCTAAATTTAATTAAATATTCACTTTGGTCCCTGAATTTAACTAAAATTTCAATTAAAACCCCAAAATTAATTCTAATAAAATTTCATCCCCTAAATTGGCATGTGACATATTTTTTTTGCAAAGCAGAACTACCCAGAATAGGAAATACTGATATTGCATAAAGGAGTATCATACTTCCTTTATAATTTTTAAATAAACCAACTGTTAGTACTGTTGGTCTTGGCCAGTATTGATACTATGGTTTCATGGTATCTATACTATTATATAAAGTAGTATCGATACTTCTAAAGTATTTGTTCTAATTTTTCTTACTGAAATTTGTACAACTTGAAAAAAAATAGGTAGTATCGATACTACCATGAAAGTATCAATATTTCTCTCACCTTTTACATCAGTACTGCAAGAACAATAATTGTACTATTTATGTGGTATTTATACTGTAAGAATAGTATCAATACTACTTACCCTTAAAACTATTTTTTTGTTCAAAATTAGGTTTTATGAACTTTATAATATTTTTAAAAACTGTGAACAAATTCAATTAAGTCCAAAAACATTTTGCCTTTAAATTATTATATCAAAATATATGGTTCAACAATCTCCCCTATTTTGATATAACAAAACTTTTGATTTTTTTTGCAGAAGTCCACCATAGTAAAACATTTCTTGAAAAAGAGAAAATACTGAAAACTATTTAAGCCCCCTTTTTTTTTTATCAAAAATAGTTCAAACTTTTAGGTTCAAAATAACAATGGAGATTAAATAATTTTTTTTACAATAAATCATTTGAAAATTTTAAAGGTCCCCTTCAATAAAAGCATTCCACGAAAAAATTTGACACAAAAACTTTAACACTTAAAAGATATTGAATTTCAACAAAGATGAACAAACATGTTAGTAACACATGAAATTCAATAAATCCAAGTCCATCATACTTTATGCAATAATTAGTAACAAGTCATTAAAACTCACATGCATAAAGCATTACATAATGTTATGCATTAAATATAGTTATCAATTGTTAAAGAGATATTATAGGCAATAAAGAACATATGCATAAAC